ACACGTCGACAATACATTTTCTGCCCGAGCATTGTCTTTTCTCTTCTTCGGGAAAGTCTCGAGTGCTGCATTTCATAAATTAGGTTTGAATTAAAGTTAAGTTTAACGAAATGTGTCTCATAAACTAAGTCTTATACACAAGAAGCACTTCGTAAGTTTCCCAAATTTTAATTACTGGCTTGAGTAAAGTTATTTGTCTTTTTGATGTAGCCATGGGCATTCCCATGCTTATGTCTGTATCCATTTTTAATACCTTTTTGGCACACGTTTGTACTGACTAAAAATAAGTAGAATGTCGCATACCCCTTGTTATTTTTGGAAAAGTAAAGCGCGGCAACCAATCTGTCAATACCTATATTTGCATGTACATTCTAAGGGTCCTTAAAATGGAACCCATTACGTGTGCTTTAATTGTGTGATATCAAGGTAACAGCGCTTAATACTGTTGAAGGAGTAGTCAAGGCTAAAACCAAACTGTCCACCATTTTCAAAGATAAATTTTTAGGGTTGCATTATTTAATAATTTAAGATGAATACTTGCTATCAACAGACCAAAATAGGAGTCCAATGATTGTGTTATTTATAAATATAACGCTTAACCGTTCTTTAATTGAAGGATTCAAAGTATTGAAATGATCTTTTGGGAAACAAACCGTCGTGGAAACTTTAAATGACCTGTAATTTGTTTGCGAATTCATGACGTGAGGGTGGCGATTTTAAGTGCACATCACTTTGTGGGGACATCTTTAGCCCCGACCACCGCAAATATGGCCATTGCACAGGTGCGATGTTAATGCCCATACCCAAACCTATATGTAGGGCGTTCAAACTAAACCGAAACTTTTACTTGTGCAGGCATTAAGAGAGGTGTTATTGTGTTAATATCGCACACACCAACAAGTAACAAGGGTGCCAGTGGGGATGACCTCGTGCATGGAATAGCGTATATTGTTGAATTAAGGCGTTAAACTTGCACTAGTAGCTATTTGCTAGCGTAGAAAGCCTAAAGGATAGTACGATGCTTTTGGGGCTCTCAGCTGCTTATTGATGAGACATTTGGGTGGTGTAAACGTTTCATGAGCTTTAGCACTTCTCGCACTGAAAATCGCAGCCTTGGTGATTCACAGCACACAGTAGTCAATACTAGGTACCTTTCCTGAAATTACACAAGAGGCCTATTTTCTGCGGGACTGGTGAGTTTAATCTCTCACTAATTTTCGCTATTTTGAAAGGCTGGCTCATGCTAGGTACCAAAACGCCACGCTACTACTGACTAGTGCAGCTATTGTCCTAAGCTGGTACAGACGGAATGGAAAACTCCCCCCGGTCGAAGCCTTCTACACACTAGTTGAACACTTAAATGATTGCATAAACGTAGCAGCGACCTGTGAATTATGTCAAAAAATAAAATTTATTTTAACCATTTGTTCGGGCGTCTGATACAATTTCGCATTGCATTAATTGTGTATTTTTAAACTACTCGTAAAGATTCCTAAGCGTCTCCCTTTTACTTTTAGTATTCCAATGCTGAATCCTCCTGACGCCACAAGTGTAGTCAGTAACCGCACAAGTGCCACTGTTTAACAATGGTACTAGTCAACTACCAGGTGAACCGTATTCAATTGTAAGGGGTCAGGGAACGTTAATGTGACCTATTTCCGGAGGGTGATATCCTAATAAATAGCATTAATTCGGAGAACAAATAGGTGTACCATGAAAAGCATAAAATTTAACATACTGATATAGGAGATGTACTCGTGATTTACCACTGGATCAAAAGGGAGAAAGATATCATTGAACTCTTCAACACGCCGTTCTACTGGCATTTTTCCAAATTAATTGTTTATCGTATTAGTCAACTTTACGGTAGCCTGTAAAGCACGTCACTTTATTCCTTTTTAATTTCAATGGGAATGAATTGGATGTTTAAACGATAGGTCATGAAGCAAAATAATTCATTACAGTGTAAGAAGAATCTGCGATTTAAGACAAAGAGATATCTACAAACACCGATGCTGTATGAACTGCGTATAAAACTTTTTCCTAAGAAAAGTCAAAAGTGAGTTTCGAAAGTGAAGCAGTGTTTTAGGAATTACTCACTCATATTCACTTGATCTATGTTATCCCATAAACCTTTTAAAAATATTTCCTTCTTTCAAATACATAAGATCATGTTTGTACACAGGCTTGAACTTTATGCACGAGAGGGATTTAATTACCCCTGCCGGTTGTACTTTAATAAATCAAGACCTCAAGATTTACAAAATTAGCCCTGGGGATTTTACCGCCCAATGAACAAGAAATGAAGGAGTTAGAACCTTTGAATTACATCAAAAATGTTTCATATGAGTTGCTTTCTTCAAGCATTTACCCCAATTCATAAGATTAACTATGTACGGTTCACGATTTACACATAATCATCACCTTTCAGTGTGATTGGCTCCTCCTGAAGCAGAAAAAACTTGACGCTTTCCTCAATCCTGATTGGTCCGAGGTGGGTTGGCACAACAGTTTTAAGGGCTAGTAGAGGACTACTAGCATGATGAGATAAAAGATTACTGAGGCATTGGATAATTTTGTGGGTTTCTCTGTTTATTTTCATTTCTAATTGCACAGTTTTATACTTCCTAGCTCAAATGTGATAACTATGACTTGCCCTTTATCGTATCAATCTTTATCGCTGAACCGTTGCACTGTTGGTGATGCCTTAATTACTTATTTTGGCAAACTGTTAAAGTCCTCCATATTTTTATTTCGTTCACATGAATGCGACAAAGGATTGTAACTGTATCTTGTGACTGGCTGCTTACTCTTTAAAAGAAAGCGGCACACTAATTCCATAGTTTGTTAATCACAAAACGTAAGGCATACCGTCTTCAAAACCAAGGACAGGAATGATCTGCATCATCCACAACTTCGAATAATCACATGTGCAAGCGCATGTGCCGCGTCATGCTCATGACTCGATCACGGCATCAGATAAGTCAGGCAGTGCAGCCATTGGTCTCACGAAGGTCTGGCTTCTA